GTTGTACTACTGCCCCTCGCGATGGCTCTCTCGTGGCAATGTATTGTCCCGTACGTTTGAATTACGGCAGGAAATGTACACTTTTCTTGAAGAAGAAAAACACGAGTATGCCAAACACTTCGTGGAAACAGATTTTTTGGTAAAACTAGCATACTTGTGTGATATCTTTGAAAAGTTAAATGCGTTGAATCTCTCCCTGCAGGGAGGCAACATGCACCATTTTGAAATTGGTCGAGAAGTTTTCAGCTTTCAGAAAAAAAAAATACAGCTATGGAGAAGAAAAATGAATGAAGACGGTGGCAAAGATTGCTTCCCATTGTTGCAGCAGTTTGTGATCTCCAATGAAGTTGATTTCTCTCACAACGTAAAATCTGTTTTTGAAGAGCACCTATCACAGCTTATCAACTGGTTTAAAAAATACTTTCAAGAAGATAATATCGACAAGTTCGCATGGATTCAAGACCCATTCAGGGCCAAAGCTCCATCTGAATTTACTTCTGTAGAAGAAGAAAATCTTATTGAGCTGTCTTGCGACAATACACTGAAGACAAAATTTGGCAGCATGGAACTAACTGACTTTTGGATATCAGTAAAAGATGAATATCCGCTGCTAAGCGATAAAGCTCAGCGAATCTTAATTACATTTGCGACATCATATCTGTGCGAAGCTGGGTTTTCGGCGGTCGCTGTGATAAAAAGCAAGTATCGTGCGAAAATCAACGTGGAACAGGAAATGAGGGTGGCTGTGTCCAGTTTGATCCCAAGATTTGAGAAGATGTGCAGTGAACAACAAGCTCATCCATCTCACTAATTATGATTTATTTATTCAATGATATGATTGTTCAAAATGAGTACTTATTTAATACTTTTTACATAAATTGTTTGTGAATTTGAAATACGTGATTCATTTATTTTTTTAACTTAACCAACCTAACCGCACCAACTGCGCACTGCAACTGTTAGGTAGGCCTGTATTCTGACTTTGGGCGCCGTGGAAAAATCCTGATACACTTAAGGGCGCGTGAACCGGAAAAGTTTGGGAACCACTGCCTTAAGCGTTGCCCACCAATACCGTTGTCTACACAGCGATTCATAGTTAATAGCTCAGATGCCTTTTATGAAGTTTGTCATAACTTTGAGAAATGTGAAATGACTAATATTTTTGTTATCACGTACATTATCTTTACTCCTCCTCCTCCTCCTTCTTCTTCTTCTTCTTCTTCTTCTTCTTATGTTGCTCCCGCTTGGAGCACGAGGCAACCTTGTAACGTTTCATTTCACTTCACTTTCTTAATTAAAAACAGTCGGCAGGACTCTTTGACGGGGGATCATCCCGTCGCAAGGCCGCTACGTGGCCGCGCCATAGCTCAAGCGGTTAGTCACTGGCTTCCCACCGCGGCGGCCCGGGTTCGATCCCGGGTCTGGTAAGTGGGATTTGTGGTGGACAAAGTGGCGCTGGTGCGGGTTTTCTCTGAGAACTTCGATTTCCCTTGCCAATCTTCATTCCACCAAATTCTCCATCATCATAATCACCCGGGGCAGGCTACAATAGGCCAATCGATGGCCGCCGTGACGAGTGGACCCAGTTCGACCCCACCAACAACTAAGCGAATTAAAAAAAAAAGGCCGCTACCTAACACACGCGGAATAAACACATGCATACATCCATACCTAGGGTGGGATTCGAACCCACGATCCTAGCGTTCGAGCGAGCGAAGACAGTTAATGCCTTAGACCGCGCGTCCAGCGTCTGTGATCGGCATCCACTTGGCTACTGTTTCTCAAAGAAGCCAAAGGATTAGAACCCAGATGACAATGGAGTTTTCAGTATGATAAATTTCCTACAGAGACCAGTTTTAGTAGTACACAAACATACTACCAAAGCCGAAATATATATCGGAAGGTTGAAGGTAGCAAGTGAAATATTTGCCTGTAACTATTGAAGGGACCGGGGTTCATTATCATTCTCAAATGAGAAAAGGTAGGGGGAAGGAAGGGGGAATGGAACTTCAGAGAAAGATGAAATTATATATTTTGAACAAAAATTCTTGCCAGACAAATTGAGATTGGCTGCCATATCACTAGGGTGTAAAGATAAAGACATTCCAGCATTGGACGAGTATTTCTGTGATGAATTATATTGTACTAGATTTGTACTTGCTTTGCTTGCGGTAACTTGCTGTGATGATGTGCAAACATATTGTAATTTCTGAATATCTAATCTTTAAAATACCGACTCTATAGACATACCGGGGCACGCGGTAGCGAAGTTGGTTGAGACACTATGTTACAGGCCGGTAGGTCGCGGGTTCGATTCCAAATGAGGTCATTGAATTTTTTCAGTTTACCTAATTCTTCCAGCCGCCCTATGGCCCTGCTGTCCACTCAGCCTCTAACCGAAATGGGTAACAGGAATCTTCCTGTGGGGGGGGGGGTTAAAGGGCGGCGGGCGCGTAAGGCTGACAACCTTACCGCCATCTGTGAGCCGATTGTCAAGAAAATGTGGGAACCTCGACGTCTCACAACCCTATGGGCATTCACGGACTGTTACAAGGATAGCTTTACTTTTACCTTCATAAATATACCACACACAATTACACGTTCCTGTGCGAATACCTTGAGGATGGAGGGATCAGAGGTCTCTGAAATGTTAACAGTACACCAAATTACAATGCGTCACACCCCAGCAGTTTCCCTGCATGTTCAATTTTCTTTCGCTGCGCTAAAGCCCCCTTGTGCCCTGGCCTCTGATTTTTCAGTTTCACGATCATTTTAGAGAAGGTACGACTCCTTGGACGAGTGATCAGCTCGTCGCGAACTACATGTTTTATTCCCGCATAAAATGTACGTTAACATTCTTATTGATATTGTCGCGTATCGGGCGTATATCGCGACAAATAAATTCTCGATGTATTCGATGTAGCGAATTTTATTTCACATTCGCACTTACAATCACCCAAATTACAGATTTACGATTACTGCTATCTGCAGTATCACAATTAGTACACTCCAAATGCCACAATACAACTGACTAGTTGCTGGCTTCTTAGTTATCGCTCACTCGCAGGCTGACTCGGTACAACTGATCTCGGCGACTGTTACAGTACAACTGAAGTCGCCGAACTGCTACAGTAGAACTGACTGGTAGCCACATTAGAACTCTCTGGTAGCTGTTCTGCCGTCCACTTATATAGCCGCAGGATTGCCTGTTACGTTCCACGTCACAGTAGGAAGCAGTTCCGCGTCACCGCGTGATGTCACCGCGGAGGGGAGTGGCGGGGCGGGCTTCGTTACCGTGCGGAGGAGGGGGAGGGGAGCGCTGACTCACCCGCCGCGTCACTGCTGGTGGGGGGTCGTTCTCCTTAGCGCAACATGTCACAATATATTAACAATTTATTTCTAGTGGAATTTGTCGAGAAAGATGCATTCAGCCTATGTACCGAATAGCACTGGTTAGCTACTCGAAGTTCTTGTGGGAACAACATTACTGATGGCAGTCAGCGTTCAGACGGTGTACCGTCTGTGACGGGATAATTGAAGGATGGTGAACTGTAAGGGATGTGGCAGGATGCGGTCATGGCCTAATTAAGGTGTAATCATGGAATTTGCATGGGGGGGGTTGAGGAAAACCACGAAAAACTCGTCGAAGGTGGCCGGTGTCACGGCCGAAATTCGAACCGAAGACCTTACGAATACGATTACAGAGAAGGTACACAAAAGTATACAAAAGTATGCAGTATACAAGACAATATTCTGTATTTTAAACAAAGTAGACGCTATCGTATCAGCATTGGTTTTTATTGACTCTACATGTTTCGACCCTTTTACTGGGTCATAATCAGGAGTACAATAATACCAGCCTCAGTTGTTTGATTACATCTAACAATTTGCATCTGATTCTTCAATAAGGCTCCTTATTGTGCTCTTGAGTGTTTTAAGTGCATAAATTTAAACTTTCAGCTAATATTTTAAATACTTAGATAATAACATTTTAAAAATTAGAGACTAAAGATAAAACATAAACATTAAAATTATACTAATATGGAAACGAAATATTTTGTGATAAATCTCTTTAAAACTTTGTGACCGCCAAGTGTTGACGTGATTTTTCTGGTGGAAGAAGCGACTATACTGTGGGGCGCATGCGTATCGGGATCTTGTCACATATGTCAGGTCTAGTCTTGGCCCTCTTTTTTTTTTAAATTCGTTTAGTGGGATGTTGATTCCAGTTATGTCCACTCGGCACGGCGGCCACTGATTAGCCTATTGTATCTACCCCGGGTGATTATGATGATGGAGAATTTGCTGGAATGAAGATTGGCAAGGGAAAGCGAAGTACTCGGAGAAAACCTACCCCAGCGCCACTTTGTCCACCGCAAATCCCACTTGACCAGATCCGGGTTTGAACCCGTTCTTCAAGCCAGCGAGTAACCGCTTGAGCCATGACGCGGCTGGCGTCTTGACCTTACTCTTTCCTTGGGGGATTTATGGTCGTTATTCTGTGTGTCACCCAACAGGCTGTTTATTTGGAGTGATGTATACGTGTATTAGATTTTATTATGATGATATGTGTGTGTTGTTGATGTCGCTATGTTGTAACGGCTCGGTCTAGACCTGGAAGATTACTGAGCGTTATCACTTCTCCAATCCGCCCTGTTTGACAGTGGATGTTAACCTAATTTGAAGAATACTGTCCGCTTGAATGTGACGCCATGTATTCCGGCGTTTCGGAGAAATGTACTTCCTTTTTTTTTTTTCACGCTACTCCAAACCGCCCGTAAACTTCCACCAAACTACACGGCGTCATATCGCAAAAGGAATTATTCTTCGTAGTACATTCTTGAGTACATAAAAATTCGCATCAATTAATATGCAATTAAATTGTGGGGGGTTTTCGGTGTATGAAGAGACAACTACTTATTAAACTTGTATGCATATATTTATTGTCGTTATACAGAATATACAGACGAACTTCAAGTGAAGAATTGAAGGCAGCAGTTTGTAGATTGTAGGTTACAGATCTCAGGTAGGCTGGCTCTCGACAGGATGTAGGAAGGTTCTCTGGGTCCTTCCTAGTTTTCCCTGAGTGTGCCCTTCTGTTATTCCATACTGCCAAACTACTTCCATGGAGACGAGATTTCCAGTCGTTGCATACCAGTGATAGTTGTGCTGTAGGTTTTGCTTAGCAACGGCTGTTTATGCAGTCTTTGCTTAACAGCGGATGGTTCCTAGCTTCTGATAAGCTAAGGTTTGATTCAATGTGGGCGGTTTCCACAAAGTGTTTCTTTAAAATAAAGATATTAACATTTTTTCTTACGTCTCATGTCTCCTGGGTTGAACTGCGGACTGGGCTATTACAGTCTGGTAAAGGGAATGGATCGCACTTTATGCTTTGTCCTCAGAACCCTAGAATAATTTAACGTATGCATATGTCATATCACACTTAAGCATGTGGTCACTGTTGCATGGGATCATAAGCATCCAGCGCCATTTTACCGAATGCCATGAGATAGCCGTGGATGTTCTTTTCATTTATTTCTGGCCACCAATAGTAATTCCACCAACTGTCCAAATAATGTCTGTGTCTAATTAAAAGATGGATTGTGTAATAATTACGCCATTCCTTCCAATTATGTTGGCGGTATAGTTCGTAGGATAGGTCGTGTACTCCAAATAATGTCGTCACGCTGTGAACAAGTTCTGGTTTGTGCCATAGAATTTCAAGAGCAGGTTTCTGACCTGCGTTGTAATACCATAGATTAGGATAGTATTCTCTGTATGTTTCCAACCAGAGGCGCAGAAAACGTGCTTCCTTATGCGCAATTAAAACCTGAGTACCTATGTAATTATTCTCATCTCGTCCGAGAGCCATTTCATACTTTCGGAAACAGTCCAGACTCCTTACCACATAGGAATCGTTATCTAAGAATATGCCGCCATATTTCATCAGGATCTTTATTCGTGCAATATCTCCAGCATGCCAAACGTGACTGAGATTCTGTCCGAATATCTCCGTTGGCATTTCGAGTTTTTGGATTTCAATGATCAATCCTGGGGTGTTTTTCAGTTTCTCCCAGTGAGGACCTCTGAATTCATCAACATCTGTATGAAACATTATCTTATCGGGATGTTGGTTCTTGAAGGCCGCCAAAACGCAAACGGCAGCCACGTAAGAGATATGTCTTTCCCCGAAGAATATAAAGTGGACGATGTTTGGAATAATGTATTCGCCATTTATGGTTCCTGTTTCGTTATTGAACCCCACGAATATACTCCCTTTTACAACATCAAATAATTCTGATCGGTATGGCAGTGGCCTCGGAGATTCTGGCTTCTTTCCTGAATTCCAGAAAGTGACAAACAGAAGCAGGAATCCCAGTCCAAGGAGGAAAACTGCAAGCCGGGCTCGCCTATGAAACATCTTCAACTTCCTCCATTGTCCCTGAAGAAGTGAAAATCAGAGGAACATATTAATTCATTAGAGTGCCCATGGTTCAGAGCTGGAACAATTCTGATAGCGATACATAAGAAAGTAAGAGAGAAATATAGGTCTTACATCGGCAATAGCACAAACTGCATGATGGAAAGTAAAAGTAAAGTTGGCACAGTGTTTAATTAATTAAGCGCCACGCTATTAAGACGTGTATTGTGAAGGTACAGCTGCACTGTTCTTGATAGGTCAGCTTCATTCCCCGCCCAGCCATAGGCAAAGAGCTCCTACTACTCATTGGGTAGGAGGCTGGTTGGTCCCCAGGGTGAGACGCTGGTGAGAAGAGAAGAATTTTTTGCCTCTGCAGAGAATCGAATACCATTCGTCTAGTCCGTTTGCCGCCACTATATCGACTAAGCTATACTTATATAACTTCAAGTTGTGTTCTTATGAATTAGTAGTGACAGCACGTATTTAACAGCTGTTAATTTTTGTAATTTTGACGTAATTTTTAATTGTATTATGTGTACTTATTCCGGTGTAGAAAACCGAAATTAAGGGACGCGATTATTCGTTGCGTTGACGAGGCCACGCGACATCCTCTAGCCGCTGAAGTTAGCACTAACCACGCCGACATGCTGTGGTCGCTCAGTAGTTTGACAAAACGATATCAGAGTCGGCGAACGGGTCAGTAAATAGCAGTGCATAATACTTACTATGTCCCTTGCAATGCGGCCACTTCTGGCCTGTTGTACCAGCCCCAGATGATAGGTGAGGGTGATTGTGGAGCAATTGGTGGAATGAAGATTGCAAGGAAAACCGAAGCACTCGGAGAAAACCTGCCCCAGCGCCACTTTGTCCACCACAAATCTCTCTTGACCAGACCCTGGATCGAACCCGGGCCGCCGCGGTGGGAAGCCAGCGACTAACCGCTTGAGGTATGGGGCGGCGCAGTGCATAATACTTAGTTCAACTCTCAGTGGTATCGAACTACTCTACCTTTAGTCTAATTTCCTTACCTAGAGGAAACGATGGGCTAACGAGACTACCATCATTTCGACGTGTTACACCATTCTACGTGTATCTTCAGAAATTAGTGGCAGTTTTTGACAAAATTTGGTATGAACATTATGCCATTGTAGACAACCATAACTTCGTAAATTCTGATTTCCTAAGATCAATAGTAACATTATGACAGACCCACGAACTCTCGAAGTGGAAGCGCCATTGCATGCCACTGCTTACCATTGCCCGTTGCCTTGTGTGTTTAGGTTAACGTGCTTTCAGGCAGACTGCGTCTGTTGGTTTCCTATGCCTCTTTTCATTTAATTTATTTTCATATCATACTATTATAATCGTCTTTTCCTCTCCGGAAACTAATATTGCTACAACAGTTCTATCTTCTAGGATATAACATCGTGTAGTCCGTTGAAAATCAATAGATCAGTAGGCTGAGGTTTGCTGATTCGGTAGAGCTGAGGGTCTCTTTATCTCAGAGGCTTGAACGGGCCACAACTCAGAGAAGCAGGAATGGACACGAAGCTACACAAGCACTTTATCAAGTTTAGTTAATTTATTATTGTTGAACACTTGCTGAGCCACTTCTTAATACAACTTCAGAAATCAGTAACTTTAGCTTATTTGTCGGAACACACACAAATCGAGTTCCGATAGTTTATTGTTAAACATTTATACCCTTTGTTGCACAATCTAATCTTTCTCTCTCAACTTGCCTAACTTTGTATATATTTTTCTTTAATTCACAACACTTTATGCCTATATACTTCTTACTAGTTATTACTTTCAACTGAATATCACAAGTTTAATTCTGTATACAAAGAAAACGGTGAGTGACTAACTGCACAAGTTTTACATCTGATTTTTTCAAGGGCCGGTGTGTGATTAACTTCGACAACTGACTTCCCTTCGAACCATCAAGTCCTTGTTCCATCAGCGTCTCGGCTCTGTCACACCCTTAAATTTTAGTGACGGTTTACATTTGAAAAATAGGAGTATCTTAATTTAGCTATTCCTCCACTCCGTTTAAGGATTAAAGGGAGTTTAGTTTTCTGAGCTCCAACGTACTTTTTCTCAGAATCTTGACAAATGTTAAGCTTGGCTTGGGGCTCTTAAAACTTACTTCTTTTAAGTTATGACATGCACAAGCTGTCAAGTATCGAATTCACAAAAGATTCCGTAGTTACACTTTCAAGTAAAATTTCAAAGAACTCGCGACGGGGTGTCTTTCTGTTCTCTGCACGTGTGAGAAGACGCTAACTCTTACATGCAAGAATAGCCCTATGTCTCACTGCTCTTGTTCATTGCATCCCATTGTGAACAATTAAAAATTCTAATTAATAAAATTAATTACGGTTAGAGAGTCCCAGTGGGGGCAACAATTTTCACTTCTCTATGTCGTCCAGACCGGCCCTGGGCCACACACAGCCTCCTATCCAACGGGTACCGGGGACTCTTTCCCTGGGGATAAAGCGGCCGGCGCGTGAAGGTGACCACTCACCTCCAACTAGTGCCGAGTTCAAGAAAGGATGGGTCTATATATTCACTCCCCCATACATCTTCATGGCGTAGTGCTTAATTAGTTAATCACAGGGCAAACTTTACCTTTTTTTTCCTTGGCACTACAGCCCCAGTGGACCTAGGCCTACCTCCATGAACTTCTCTGTTCACTTCGGTTTTTCTAGATCTTACACATTCGGTAGGACTCCTTGGGCGGGTGATCATCGCGTCGCAAGGCCTCTACCTATACACAAACACAGAAAAACGCACACATACACAAACTAAACATCCATGCCCTGAGTGGAATTCGAACACATGATCCCGGTTTCCAAGCGAGCGAAGACAGTGCATGCCTTAGACCGCTTGGCTACCGTGACCGGCAAACTTTACCTTTTACCATAAAATAATTCTATCTCCTTTGATATAAGACCGTGTGTTCCGTTGAAAATCAATAGATATTTCGAAAGAAGATATTACCTTCTTCAGGATCGAAAGAAAAACAAAGCAGAGACCACAATCGAATCGTTACTTCTATATCAGATCGTAATTTAATAGCACCACGATTGTAATTTATACAAACTTCAAGTATTAAAATTTTGGTAATGTTTTGTCGTCAGGAACAATTATAATTATTCCGTAATATCGTCATAAGTCTGTCACAATCACATTGCTTATGTGAGAGTGAGGTTTGCCTGCAGGTCTAGGAGTCTTATCTTGTGTATCTTGCTCTGTAATCCCAAACACTTACGATCGATTGATTAATTAATAGGTTACGTGTCGACGCTGTTTCAACTGATGATACGACACAGTTTTAAAGAAGATTATGAAAGATGACTAAATAGTATTCGAATGTAAAAGATAGTATTCCTTTTTTCAAGGAATTATCCCTATATTAGACTAGACAGTCTGCTACATCAGCCCACCTTCTTTTCAGTTGTTCTGCCTGACGCTGTATCATCTTGATCCCGGCACTGTCGTTAAGTAAAGAACTGAAAATGGCAATAAAGTAGAGATACGAATGCTCAATAAGTTGTCACGATTTAATGCGCAGACCTACTATTCGTCTTCCTGATAAGTCTTGCCACTTACCTTTCTAGTTGTTTCCATTGGGCGATATACACCAATGTCACACCTGCACCTCTGAAACGACACAGCTATACTTTACAGTACGTATATACTACGTCATGCGTAGAGTCTCTGTTCTCGGTCCGCTATCAGCAGTATCAGTAATGTTGTATCTTAGCAACCTGTTGCAGTTGATATTATAATTTATTTTTAGTTGTTTACCGTCCACCATGCAATTCAGTCCTTAAAATAATTCGTCAACGCACTTTTTAATCGCCTATGTGGTCTAGTGGTAAGAGTTCCTGGCTACAGATCCAGACGTGCCGGGTTCGATTCTTGGCGCTACCAGATTTTCTGAGAAGTTGTGGGTCTGGAACGGGGTCCACTCAGCCTCGTGAAGATAATTGAGGAGCTATTTCAAAGAAGTTAGGAGTATGTAACCTGATCATCTTCTGTGAGACGGGCAGGACAACTGTTTTACAGGAGAGATCTTCGCTGACCGGAAACCCTAATTTTGCAATTCGTATTTCAGAAATTCAGTATAAACTTTCTGAGTGACTGATCATATTTCTTAGTTATATGATAAAGACGTAATAATTATTATATTAATAATACAATTAAAGAGGGATTTGAAACTCTGACTGACAATTTTATATGGGTGTGAAACTTGGTCTCTGACATTAAGGGAAGAACATAGAGAGCAGGTTGCTGAGAAAATTTGGGCCAAAGAAGAATGAAATAATAGGAGGTCGGACAAACCTGTATAATGAGTTTCATAATTTGTACTACTTACCAGATATAATAATTAGAATGATCAAATCAAGGAGGTTGAGTTGGACAGGGCATGTAGCTCGCATGGGAGAGAAGAGAAATGCATATAGGGTTGTTGTGGGAAAGCCAGAAGGAAAGAGAGTACTAAATAGACCTAGATGTAGGTGGAAGGATAATATTAAATTGGATTTTAGAGAAATAGGATGGGGTGGTGTTGACTGGATTTATCTGGTCCAGGCTAAGGATCACTGTCAGAGGACCTTTTGAGAACACTGCAGTAAATCTTCGGGTTCCATAAAATTGGAAATTCCTGAATAACTTAGCGACTGGTGGAACGTGCAGAAGTACCCAGAACCATGGTATTAGTATTCTCGAACAGCTTTGATCAGACCTCGAGTTTATTTTGTATTCTTTGCGGCAACAATATTGTCTCTATGCGATGTATGAATAGCAGAACTTAAGAGGTGGTCTTATATTTATTAGTGTCTGAACAGAGCCTTATCTCGTGCTGAGTTCCTCACGACCGAGCTGCTCCACTTTTGATCCGAGGGAGAATTATAGATATTGTAACGGACTTGTTCAAAGCGTTTCTTGGCAACAGCACGGTAAAAACGTTCCAGCGTGCAAAAATGAAAGCTGTTTCAATGGACGAATGTATAGCTCGTTGCTAGGCAGCAGTCAGCGCGCCAATGAACTCACTGGATAGCAATCCATACCCCGTGTGGAGGCGGGGTCGAATACCTCCCCCGTGACCCTGCGAGTCGTAGGAGGCGGCGAAAAGGGAAGTCTCAATTCTGAGACAGTAAAATATGGTCGCGAGTCCTAAGGGACTCGAACCCGAGTAAGACTGCGCTGGCAAGGACCAGCAGCATATACAAAAGACAGCCCGGTCCTCTCGTCAGAGAGGGCGCTCCACAAAAACAAAACCGTAAATGCCAAACAGTAATAAATATATGGTCATGGGCTCGACACCAAGACTTATTGACTGACTGACTGACCGTCAGTCGCAATGTGACGTGGACTTGGACTTAGTGAGGCACACCCGTGTGGTGGCGGGGACGGATACCTCCACTGTGACCCTGCGAGTCGTAGGAGGCGACGAGAAGGGAAGTCTCAAATCTGAGACAGTAAAATGTGGTCATGAGTCCCGTGGGACTCGGACCTGAGAATAACTGCTCTGTCGAGGGCCAGCAGCGATTGTAAATGACAGTCCCATCGTCTCATCAGAGAGGATGTTACATTAGGACTATGACAACAAGTGTTTCGTTGAAAATAAATCATTGGTCGTGAGACTCAAGGGGCTTGTCGCCAAGACCAGCTGATTGGTGATAAACCGCCAGTCGTAAAGCAATTCTGACTCTGACTTAGATTAATGCAGTGCAGTGCAATGTAATTGAGAGTCGCATTGCCGGTAGGACACAGCCACGGGAAGTTCATAGGTAAAGAAGAATTAACAGTCGGCCAATGAGGACTTAACTTGTGATTTGAAGACTTTATGTGTGCTGTAGTGCAGTGATATTGGGAGTGTGAAACTTATAATTCCTGTGTTAAAATCCGTTGCCAGGAAATGGATAGGAAAACTTTGCAGAGGAAGAGCCATTGTTTAGATCTGTTACCTAGCTACGACTGGTTAAAGCAGATATAGAAGAATTTATGCATGTGTTATAATTACAGTAATCTTGAAAGTGTTATAATTATTTGTAGTTAAGACTAGTGAATATCCAGCAAATCTACTCACCGATCCAAACCCGCGTCTATAATCACTAGGGACCGGATTTTTTGCCCTAATAATCCCTTAAATATGTATGCATTTATGCATGAAAAACTTCCGGAATATGCACATAAAAATTTATACCGAGTATTAAAATTGATTTTACATTATTTTAAGACCAACAAATCAATATTTAAGTTCATTTTATGTAATCACTGAATGATTCACTTGCAATGAAAAGCTACACTTAAATACGAATCATGCAACAAAAGCCAACATATTTCATTACAAATTTAAAAAAATCAATGGTACTCATTTCTGTTAGAGGCTGAGTGAACCCCAGGGCCATAGTGCGGCTGGAAGGATTAGGTCAATTGAAAAATTCAATGACCTCATCGGAATCAAACCCGCGACCTTCCGACTTGTAGCATAATGCCTCAACCAATTACGCTACCCCGTGCCCCCCCCCTTTTAGAGAGAGAAAAAAAAAGAAAAGAAAAAGGAAGTTTTTTGAGGGAGATGTGGTTAAAGTTACTGAAAATCACTGGTAAATTCTGATCCTTCATTCGCAAGTCTTTCAGCAAATCAGTTACACTAAGCTTTTCATAATTTTCAGTGAATACATCCTGTTGTATATCATATATTATTTCTTACTGAAAACCGTCAAAACACAACAATCAATAAAACGTGTAAGTAGCTCTAGGAGATACTTTGCTACATGTTTCGGCCTTCAAAAGGCCATCATCAGGCAAATACATTAAACTTTTCGTTATCTAATTGCATGTCAAATACAAGATACAGTGCTAAACTTCCAGTTTATACAATGGTATAAAATGATATGAGTAAATATAAAATATAAATTAGAATAAAAGTTGAAGTCTTAAAATAAGCAGTTACATAGTCAAAAGTACAGTTAAAAGTTGTATATGTGATGGTATTTGGAAGTTGGCAGTTGTAATCGTAATATATGTAATGCTTATACGGACATATTATATACGCAATGGCTGATGTGGTGCTTGGAGGCCCGTTATGTTGTGTGTTATTATTTAATATTTGATACTATTTGACGGGCGACTCGGTTGTGTAAATGTCCAATCTGATGGAGAGATAGATTGCAACAATCAGTCTCTTCATCAAATTGGAGAGATAGATCTATCATCAACCTATCTCTCCATCAAATCGGAGAGATAGATCTATCATCAATCTATCTCTTCATCAAATCGGAGAGATAGATCTATCATCAACCTATCTCTCCATCAAATCGGAGAGATAGATCTATCATCACTCTATCTCTTCATCAAATCGGAGAGATAGATCTATCATCAACCTATCTCTTCATCAAATCGGAGAAATAGATCTATCATCAATCTATCTCTCCATCAAATTGGACATTTACACAACGGAGTCGCCCGTCAAATAGTAACGAATATTAAACAACTACCAAGCAACGGCTGAAGACTGAGGAGACTTTACGTATGCTGTAGTTACGGTGATTTTTTGGAGTGTGTAACTCAATGAGACTCGTAGTTATTTGTACGAGTAGTTACGTTCTCTAAGTGTGAAGTAAATCAATTTACTAATCCAAAACCTGTCTACAGTCACTCAAGCAAGTGACAATATAAATAATCCTTAATGTTCATCTGTTAGAAACTTATGGATAATTGGAAAGTTATCGAACATAAAAAAATATACATTTCTATCGTCATCACACTGAATGCCAGAAGATACTCCTCAGTTTTCGCGTAGCGGAAACTTCTGGATAATTTCAGGTTGTCTAATATTTAGAAATATCACACACTTCCGTGGCAGTGTCAACGAATGTCAGAAGATAATCCTTAATGATCATTTCGTGGAAATTTTTGCATAATTTCATGTTGTCTGCCTATCTATGCCTTTACAGCCCTTGTGAACCTTGGCCGCTTTTTCAGTTCCTTAATCTATACACAGTCGGTAGGACTCTTTGTGCGGGGGATCAGCTCGTCGCAAGGCCGCTACCTATAAACAGAATAAACGCACATAAATATCCATGCCTCGCGTTGGATTCAAACCCACGATCCCAATGTTCTAGCGGGCGAAGACGGTTCATACCTTAGACCGCGAGGCCACTGTGATCAGCTTTTTCTGGTTGTCGATGTTAGGAAATTCCGTATACATCTCTTGCCATCTCACCAAATGTCATAGGGTAATCCTTAATGTTATTCTCATCGAAAACTGGCCACTTATCGAGATGTTCTTTATCAAGGTATGACCTGTGTCTCATCAGCAGATGTACTGAATACTGTTTGCGCCAATCCTTCCACAGTGTCTTATATAAATTATGCACAAGCATATGTACGCCGAACAATAGCTTGACGCGATGAACAAGTTCCGGTCTCTTGTAAAGCACCTCCTCAGTTGGTTTGCAGCCCGCATTGTAATACCAGCGATCTGGATAATATTCCCTGTAGGACTCCAGCCATAGCCTCAGGAACCGAGCGTCTTTGTTGGCTACCAGGACTTGGGTACCTATACACTGGTTATCGTCCCAACCTATTGCCATTTCAAATTTTCTGAATTTACTTAGATTCTGTACTACGTAAATGTCATTATCTAGAAATATTCCTCCATATTCCATGAGGATTCTAATTCTTGTTACGTCACCCGCATGCCAGAGATGATAGTTTTTACTGAATTTCTGTCCGAAAATTTTATCTGGTACGGTAAGGTTACGTATCTCGTACACTATTCCTGGCGTGTTTTTTATCTTCTCCCAGTAAGGCCCCACAAATTTATCAACATCCGTGTGAAATATTATTTTATCAGGACGATGGTTCTTGAAAGCTGACAGCACACAAACTGCATCCACAAATGAGAAGTTTTTTTGTTTGAACCGTAGGAAATGAATGATGTTTGGAACGATATATAAACCATTTTCGGTACCAGTTTCGTTATTGAAGCCTTCAAATAGATTTTCATTTACTGGGATTGTTTGATTTTTGGTAAATATTTCACCTCCTGCATTTCGATATAACACAGTGATGGTGCTGATGTACCAGAGCAGTAAAGATGTCGCCAAAGTGACGCCCACCAGTGTCAGGAAGTGGAATACATAACCTCTCATACTGCAACAAAAGAAAAGACAAAAGGTTTGGCATTTGTCTGATTATAGACAGAGATAATACACTGTCAAGGCGCTTTATTCACTGGGCGGAGTGAGAAAATATTCATGTCTGTCTGGTTTCAGGGGCCCCTAGTGCGCAATCGTCGGTGCACTTTTCTTATACTTTCCAAATGTTTCCCTAATTTTATTTATATAGATTGTCGCGTGTTGCCTATGTAACGCGACAAATAACTTCAAGCAGGTCTCGGATTTGGCGAATGTTTTAGGCATTATTGCATAGCAACGGTCGCTGAACGGATCCATAGAAAACGCCGCACTCCCATTGTTCCTTGCGTGTTTTCGGTCGCGAGTTGTTTCGCAGTCAGTTACCTAGCAACGCTGTGTCCACGTTACAGTATTTTAATCTTCTTCTATACCCCTTGCTTGTTTGGTACAAATCCATTTTTATTGGTATCAAATCGTTCTGTAAAAAAGAATAAAAATGAAGAGAGGGCGGCAAGATCATGCTTTGTCCAGAGGCCACCATTGCCCCTGACATGGCCTTTGCTGTAGAGTTCGGCTCTTCCGTTACGATTCGGAAGAAACCTTCTTAAAAACATTGTCTTGTGTCCCGTCTGCGTATTTAGGATAAACGTGCATTGCTGCAGAGAGTCTAGTGAGTTCAGAAGTCCAACGAGAATTCACTCCTACAGGTTTAACTTGAGCTTTCACAAACGTAATTCGGTTCCTGCTCTTCAGTCGGCATTGTCGGTAGTGCCGAGCTCAGAGTTGACTTCATCTTCAGGAAAAATGGAATCAAAGGAAGGGTGGTTAATTCAGTTTTGTATTAGAATCATTCCCCACTGATGGTGTCTCCAGCTTATCGTGGTGGTGGGGTTTGAGAGCTCCTGAGACCCTGAGAGCTATGCCGCCGGTAGCATAACTACTGGTAGGATCACCCACGCCGGACAGGTCAAGGGGTAGGATCCAGACGAAGAGCGATACCCTGGTCCTCCAGGTTGAGGGTTGGGCGTGAGACTAACAGCCTCACACCATAAGAATTAAATTGTTCAGAAACCAGACAGCCAGCCTTGGATGGATGGACCGAACGGAAATCGCCATCAGCGAAGGAGCTGAGATGGTTGTAGGATGTACACGATGATCACCGTAAAATGAAAGTGAAAGGGTGGGGAGGAAAGATGAAGAACAGAGAAGAGTGGAGGCTGAGTAAACAGCCGGTTCTAGGCAAAGTCTGCAACAATACGGACAGTGACGTGTTTTCTATATGTCCGATCCTGTAATATTTACGATAAAGTGCCGTCATTTGATTTCATGGACAACCCCGTGTGGAAGCGGGGTCCAATAGCTCCACCGTGACCCTGCGAGTCGTAGGAGGCGACGGAAAAGGAAGTCTCAAATGTGAGACAGTAAAATATGGTCGCAAGTCCCAAGGGACTAGGACCCGAGAAACACTGCGCTGGCAAGGACCAGCAGCATATGCAAAAGACAGACCCTTCCTCTCGTCAGAGAGGGCGCCCCACAGAAACAAGACGGTAAGAGTCGAGGAGCAATAAATATCTGGTCATGAGCTCCAGGAGGGTGCTCGATACCAAGACTTACTGACTGACTGACTGACTGACCGTCAGTCGAAATGTGACGTGGACTTGGACTTGATTTCATGAGTGCCCGTGTGGAGGCGGGGTCGTATACCTCCACCGTGACCCTACAAGTCGTAGGAGGCGACGAAAATGGAAGCCTCAAATCTGAGACAGTAAAATATGGTCGCGAGTTTCGAGGGACTTGGACCCGAGAAAGACCGCGCTGGCAAGGGCCAACAGCATATGCAAAAGACAGACCCGTCCTCTCGTCAGAAAGGGCGCCCCACAAAAATAAGACCGTAATTGTCAAACGGTAATAATTAATATCTGGTCATGAGCCCCAGATGGGGCTCGACACCAAGACTTACTGACTGACTGACTGACCGACTGACCGTCAGTCGCAATATGACTTTGACTTTGACTTGATTTCATGAAAATCTGCGCCTTTACGATAACCTGGAATATTTTTCAAATTAACTCCGGAAACAGAACGTTCATTTCGCGATAATTTATACATTATTGAACCAAATGAAACTGGAAATTGATACTGAGTATAATAAAACAAAAGTCTAATTTCTTACGTATAAATTTTATGTAATACACCCTGCTTCATGTGGCCACTGAATTTCAGATGCTTGTTAGGAACTAAGTGAATATGAAGAAAGTATTATACCTCGTGAGTGCTAACAAATTTATTAAATATTTTTCTGTTTAATTATTGTTTATCAGTTTATTAATTTTTCATTTATTTAGCAAAAAATTTACATTTCATTTAGTGATAGGATTATTATGTTAATTATGAATAGGAAAAGTACATATGAGGAAGCGGTGTGGCCTATTCTGTGGCACAATTATAGAATTCTCCTGGAGGCCTTCAGAATATGAATGGAAATTAGTAACCTGAAAAATTGCCATCCACACTATGTGACGGAGAATGCATTTTCTTTTAATAACAGATTTTATTATGGACCGAAAATGACTAATACCAACAAAACACGTTTGTGCAAGGCGTAGACACTAAATTATATGGCGAGGCCAACGTCCGTTCATTCATTGCTACCGAACGTGAATGAAGTGTCTTCAGAATAAACAAAATAAACAATGAATAATATTTTAAGGCTGAGTTACCTAACGCACTGGGGCTCCAGCATACACAGGGAGCGGAGAAGTCCCCACACGTACGTCATATAGTGTGAATGGCAATTTTTCAGGTTACTAATTTCCATTCATATTCTGAAGGCCTCCAGGAGAATTCTATAATTGTGCCACAGAATAGGCCACACCGCTTCCTCATATGTACTTTTCCTATTCATAATTAACATAATAATCCTATCACTAAATGAAATGAAAATTTTATGATAAATAAATGAAAAATTAATAAACTGATAAACAATAATTAAACAAAAAAATATTTAATAAAATTGTTAGCACTCACGAGGTATAATACTTTCTTCATATTCACTTAGTTCCTAACAAGCATCTGAAAGTCAGTGGCCACATGAAGCAGGGTGTATTACATAAAATTTATATGTAAGAAATTAGACTTTTGTTTTATTATACTCAGTATCAATTTCCAGTTTCATTTGGTTCAATAATGTATAAATTATCGCGAAATGAACGTTCTGTTTCCGGAGTTAATTTGAAAAATATTCCAGGTTATCGTAAAGGCGCAGATTTTCATGAAATCAAATGACGGCACTTTATCGTAAATATTACCGGGCATAAGTACGAAGCAATGTGGTACTAAGTGGTAAACCTGAGAAGAGAATAGACGAGTTGATATAGGATACTAAGGTTCATAATGCGGAAACAAAATTACCCACAAATTTATACAGAATTATTTCTAGACTGTGTTCTTGTTTTGGGAATGAAACGCGTATTATGAGGATAAAAACGAAAAGGAAAAAAATACGGAATATACCCGCGTGATTTCTTGAATAAATTTTAAGGCAAACTTTCTAAGAGAGAAGCAACAAATTGAATAAATCACAATTAATATCGAATTAAAAAACGTCACTTCAATCGGAGAGAGATTAAATTAAAAACAGGGTCTCAAAATTGGCCCATGCATATGTCCCGCGAGAAGAAACAATAGTAAGAAAAGTTGGAGTATATATTTAGGTACACTGTAATTCGTAGCAGGTTTCAAATCACTTAAATCCGATAAAAGTTATCTTAAAAACCAGGACGATGGATAAAGTCCGAAAACCCAATATCTCTGTGTGTTATACACCATCGTCAGAATCCTATAGTAACTACTATTATATAAATTTAACTGTGGGTAAATGGCGTGCAAAGTTATCGGTACTTTGATATTTCCTTGGAGCTGACTCCGAGAATAAGCGTGAGATACGGAATTCCTCTTACTCCTTTAATGATTACTTATCGCGAATTCTCAAGCACTTCAATATAATATAATTTTATCGATGAATCATCATTTAAATAAATGCTATCGGTACCTTATTTCATGCTGCACCTTTCGTTTGCTCTACAAGCAATGTTGACTTCCCCACTTCATTCTTCACAATTTCTGGCCGGACGCAGCAACTCGCTGCACGCTAGCAATACAATGTACAATGTGATGTTGCAGACGGAGTCAAATATAAAGTTTCTTGTTTGATAACATGTGGCGTATAGGGAACATTAAGTGAGGGGAAGTGATATCAGTGGTCAGATGGGTGGTTATGATTATAAATATGCTCTCTCATTTCCCTCCGGCCGCTTACAATTCGGGATTATAAAGTGTACGTAATAGAACGTATGCTCACAAGTTTGATTTGTTTCATTCTGGTCCTTCACACTAACAATATTACAAAAGGTTAATTACTTCTGTCTAGTGTGATTGATGTTTTTTTTTTCTTTTTAATCTTCTATCATTTTCATGTTTCGGTCCTATAGACCATCTTCGGAAGGATATCAATACAATTAGAAACCACTATTACAATAAGTTTTATGAATGTTAATATGTACATACGTACAATAGCATCATAATATAATGTACAAATCTTATGGCTTTAAATAACTAAAGTGGCTTGTACCAACACATTAAAATATTTATTACAGTTAATATGTTTAACCAATTTGTTTTAAAAAATTTAACATTTTTAATATATAATACTACAGTACAGTACAGACATTTACTTGAGTCATCATATGTACCTGACGATGGCCATGTGTGGGTGTTGAATTTACACGAAAGCATGGACTAAGTGTTGATTCGAGTAATGACCTATGAAGATGCTTTGAGTATTTTATTGTGTGTGTGTATACAAGGTCGCGCATATAAGTTTCATGACTCATTTTTAATTTCGTGTTGGGTAATCTGGCTACGCTGTTACTGATATCAAAGTCCAAGATCGAATGTTGATTTGCTTTTCGAAGGGACCAGTGTTCATCAGACATTCTACGTGAAGGGGTTGCAAAG